CAGCGTCCCTCGGCAGTTGGCGGCCTTTGGGGTGGAGCCCAGTGGCACGCGAGCGGCCTTTGGTGGCTGCTGTCAGCCGCCCGCTGGGTAGACCTGCTGTCGGCCGGCGGGCCGCCGTGGGACGTGTCGAGCGGCTCTCCCCTATCGGCCTGAGCGCCTCGCCGCCTTCGCGTCTCCCTGAGAGGGAAGGAGGGAACCCTCATGTTATAAATGCAAAGGCAATTTCGGGTTATAAAAAAGAGAAAATTTATTATCAAACAATAATAAATTCGAACAAAGAGAAAAACCACAATAAAATAAGCAGCGCAGCGCTGGGTGGACAGGGTCTATACGCAAGGTATAGGTGCTCCCAAATCCACGCCTGAGAGTCCTTTGGCCTGGGTTTTTATAGGAAGTTTGTGTCCCGAGGCCAAATTCCAAGCAGGCACCCTTTGCTAAGAGGTTCTTAATTGTTCGAAGAATAGATTTCCTGGCACCGGAGAATAGGGTCAATAGACGTTGGGCAGAGGCTCCTCATATGTAAAGAGGTCCAGGATGTCTTTTTGATATCATTTTGGTCTGGGCCATTAGGGTGGAGTGGTGGCACCCATCCTGGAGCCGATGGCTATCTCGGCTGGCTCCTCTTCCTTTGTCTAGTTTCTCCATTTCTCCAGCACAGGTGGTCAGGGCGGAGATGCTCGGGCTCGGCGATATCTCGTCCAGGCCCGTTCTTTTGTTTGTTCGATGGCCCGTGTCCTGCCCATTCTTTCGGGGCTGATGTGCCTGCTTGCGATTGTTATCTGGGTGCTTGGCTGCAATCTGTTGCTTTGGAAGAGAAATCCTGCCTCGACCTGGAGGAGGATTTCTCATTCCATATTTTCATCATTTACAATTACATATACTTTATTTAAACCTTTTCTTTCGAATTTTTATTCATCCAATTCTTTATTACAGTCCCCCACCTAATAATTTGACCACATTAAAAATTCGTATTATTTTATTCAATCTTACAGAGGGATGAGTGTGAGATTAATCACATTCACTTTTCTCCCAGTCTGATATTTTGCTTTTAGGATTTAACTCGTTTTCATCTCTGGAGAAACAGAATACTTGGTCAAATTGTAAACATACCCGGTCAACTTCACTTTTTAACAAATCTAAAATTATTGGTTCATTATTGAAGGAAGCTTTTGTTTCATGTTTCAAATTTCTATCTTCTTAATACATTTTTCCACTTATAGTACATGCTACAGAGGTGGATTGTCTTTTTCTTCTGATCTAGATGGTTTTATTACATTGACTATAAATTGAAATCGGAGGAATCCCTCCCACTTCTCTCTTGTACCTGAAGTGGGTAGTTTTGATCTTTTGTCTTTCAGGAGTTTGAAACTGCCCGTCTTTAAAACTTGCCTCTGAGCGGTAACACCACACCTCTCCCTTTAATTTACAGATATTATACTGAGTGCCGTTGGGAAAACACATCCCCTTTTGCAGTTCTGGAGGACAGTCAATCTTTCGTCCAGTTTCTGTGGCAGTCTGACACTGCTCACACTTCCCCAGGGGACTCTCCCCCTGGAGGTACCTCGGGACTCATTCCCTCGGCCAAGCACACGGCTAGGTTCAGGACTATCAGGATTCCCCACCATTGCATCCCTCTGCCTTGCCCTTCGCCCGTATAGGATCATACGGCGGGGATTATCATCTTCTCGGCAGCAGGGACTGTCTTCAGGGGCCCTTGTAGTCCTTAAGGCGTACCTTCTTTTGAAAGTAGCCCACCGAGACGATTTAGTTGGGTCTGTCCTACACAGTACTTTAAACTTTAATTGTTTTTCGGCACTCGATTTCTAAAGCCTTGGCTTTGGAATCTAACTGGCCTCTTAACCCCTTTTGGAACAATAGGAACCACTCAGGAGAGTTTAGTTCTAAGGACCCCGCCCGGGTGGCAAGTGTTAAGAAACGGCTAGTCTCCTCCTGTTCTTTCTCTAGACACTTTGTGCACAATCTTTAGGTTTGTACCCTCTTAAACAGTGGGCTACCCAAATCTGTTTACAATAAGCACACTCGAAGTGGATAAATGGAAAACAATTACAATCAGGATTAGTACAATTTATCTGGTCGTCACTTGTCATTTGTGATGACGCCGGCGTTTGATTTTCAGCTCTCTCGGAGGTGTGGTGACTTTCCCCTCGGAGGAGTTGTAATCCGTTACTTTTTTTCACTCGAGGTGAGTGTGTCCAGCTCCTTTCTGCAGTCCGGACAGCTGTGTCTGTGGTCAGGAGGACGAGAAACGGGCCTTCCCAGTGAGGGTTGAGGGGGAGCTCTTTCTAAGCTTTGATCAGGACTTTATCCTCAGGCTGCATTTGGTGTATGGCAAATCCCAGTGTTGTGCTTTGGGGAATCAGTCCTCTTTTCTGCAGATTGGTTAACAAAGCCGCTCGTTTTGCCTCTTTGTTTGCCAGGTTGTTACCTCGGGTGTGGAACTGCCATCCTGTTTGGTGTCCTTTTACATGGACAACTGATATTTCTTTTGGTTCTCTGACAGCCTGTAGAATTTGTCGAATGATTTCCCTATGGATTAACTCTTTTTTTTTCGTATTTATCAGACTTCTTTTTCTCAAATTTTCTTAAAAGTATGTACTACCTTAAAAGCATACCGCGAATTTGTATAGATGATCCCCCTCTTTCCTTTCAACCTCTGGAGGGCTCTCAGGAGAGCATAAAGCTCGCAAGCTTGTGCAGACCAGCTTGCTTTCAGGGGGCCTGATTTCACAATGCTTCCTGATATGCCATTCACTATAGCATATCCTGACTTTCTTTTTCTCTCAACAACTTTCGAGGATCCATCTATAAACTACTTTTCTCCTCCTTCTAACTCCTGATTTTCTAAATCTGGTCTAACTTTAGTTTGCAATTCCACAGTTCCAATGCAATTGTGTAATAGTTTCTCTGTTGGTTCTCCAAACAGGAACTGCGCAGGATTCTGCGCAGTAGTGGTTCTTAATTCTAAACCAGGCGAGCTGATTAAGATGGCTTTATATTTCAGAAGCCTCAAATCAGTCAACCACTTTTCCGCTTTTTGTTGTAAGATATTTCTTACATCATGTAGACTATCAAGGGAGCTCCGAAAGTTACCCTTTTTTTTTTTTTTTTCTTCTCTTACTAATAAAGCCACTGCCACAATTGCTTGCAAACAAGTAGGCCAACCCCGACTAACCGGGTCTAAAAATTTTGAGAGAAACCTTATGGGCTTCTTTTTTCTGCCCACTCTTGGGTCAGAACTCCTTGTGCTGCTTGTCTATTCACATCTACGAATAATTGAAATTCTTATTGGTATCCGGTAAAGTTAGTACGGGGGCAGCTATGAGTGCATCCTTTAATTTCTGAAAATTAAATTCATTTTGCTCAGTCTATTTCAACTTATCAGTGTTTAACCTTTCATACAGAAATTTTACTTTTTCACTAAATCCTTCAATTCATTGTCTGCAATATCCCAGGAGCCCCAAAAATTGTCTTATCTGTCTTTTTTGTTTTTGGGGCAGGGAGTGCAAGAATCCCTGCTACTCTCTCAGGGTCTAATTTCTTTTTCCTTTGAGATATCCAATGACCAAGGTATTTTACTTCGGGCTCTGTGAATTGCAATTTGGATTTAGATACTTTTAACCCCTTCTGTCTCAAGAAATTCAGTAAAGAAATCGTGCTTTTCTTCACCTTTTCTTCCGTCGTTCCGGCAATTAACAAGTCATCTACATATTGTAACAATTTTGTCCCCTCCTCTGG